TGATTCATTTCAGGAGCAACATGTCAAATGCTCACCATTCAAATTCCGTCATTTGGTCTGTATACCTTCCTAACTGTTTCTTCTTTTCTTGATCATCATCGATACCATGCTCTGTGAACAAGTCCTCCATTTGGTCAATGAATCTTAACAGCTCAATGGGTTTTTCCTTGTCAAAGTTAGGAGCTCCTCGGGAGCCTGGCAATGGCATCGGTCTAGACGATCTTCTGCCTCCAGTGGCAGGAGCTTCATCTCGGGTATTATCTGGCATGTTTGTAATATTTCTTTGGGCTAACAAGTTCGGGTTTATATTATCAGATGCCCTAACAGTTTTTCTACGAGTCACGCGAGGAGGCGGTTGGGATACTGTCTCTGTTCTTAACGGAAACCTTTGCGCTACTGCTGTTGCAGGTTGCTTAGCTTTTCGTTTAGGTGGAGGTGGTAAACCTGACGATTCCCCTGCTTTAATAGAATTCGCTGTTTGTCTGATTTTTGGTGCCGTGGTGAACGGCTCTGCACTAGTATTTAAATTGCTTCAAACGCTAGCGGTTTTTAATTTAAACTTTCGTTCAAATAAAATGATCCCGTAGATCACTAAACTTTCAAGTCTTTGCTTTATCAAAAACAAAAGGAGACCCTCGCGGTGGGCTCCAGATGATGCGCGTTGCACGGGGATGAACGTGAAAGTGCGAAACACGCAAACAATGATCAAGCGCGTCGGGGGAAAACCCTACACACCTAACACTCACACACACACACACACACACACACTATCACAATCTCAGTGCAAGAGTTCGAGGGCCTTTGGTATTAAGAAATACCACTTTTGTCTTCTTAGGTTTAAGTCTCAAGAGTTTTCGTTCAAAATTGGGTTTTTATTATAAGGTGTGGTTTAGAATAGTTCAATAGAACAAAGTATATCTTTCTGGGAACTTGGTCTCTTAAATGCAAAGTTCTTTGATCACAGTTTCTTTATTTAACACAAAACACGACTTTAATTGACTTTTATGACTCCAGTGAGTTTTTATTATGTCACTACGCTCCAAAACCAAGGGTACGAGTACGCTGTCTCGTCTAAAATGATACTGTGTCCTTAAAACCTCTTATTCAAAAGTCTCCAAGCAAGTTGACTCCCAAGCACGCTGGCTTCGTTCACACTGTACTTATCTGACCACGAAGAAATCTCCTTTTAATTGATTACAACTGTCCACCTCCTAAGTCTCTACTTGGAGTGCAACTAGCTGGTCAACGGGGGGGCGATTACTTCCTTTTGACCTGCCAGCGCGCTCCTTATATACTCCAGGAACCCCTATCTATGTTTTACATGTGTTTTAATGCGGGATACTTCGGTCCGAATTACAAATATGAAATTTAATGAACGTGTGGTATATTTTGTAGTCTATCTCTGTGAACACTACAGATTTTGTAGTGTCGCGTCTTTCATTTTCAAACGCATCAGTGTTTGATGCGTACGCGGAGTTAGCCGACGTAGCTATTCTTAGCTTGGCATGATCTCGCGTGTTTCTTTCTATGGCCCGGTTTACCGGTTTGACAGATGACATCACAAAATGATTAACGTTTCCTGATGCGTTGATGCGCATGCGTACGCGTTTACCAATAGTCTTCGGCCTTCCGTCGCTTCCGAGTTTTTAATTAAAATGCCTTGTCTTGGCTCGTCTTTT